TGACACTGAATCCTGTATCCTAAGCAATTCTAATGTTAATTTTATTTAGGGTTAGGAATAGAGTAACAGAATTGTAAATCCATTTTTTTTTTTAAATGAAGAAGGAAATGTAGAAGAAGAAAAGACAAGTTAAACAGTGAAAATTCCCAACAGTGCCATGAAATTACATAAAAGTCACCAAAAATAACTTGGTCATAGGCTAGAAGCTAATAAAAAACACTTTCAGATGAAAAAGGGAGGTTGACAACAATAACAAAACCTTAGAACAGTTCCACAAGAATTTCATTCCTGCACTTTACTCACTACTATCATCCCGATACAGCAAGTATCCTCTTTACTAACAGTGGTTACAGGTTTCAAAATATCTTCACGTATATTACCTTATTAAATCCTGAGAAAAACCAAATTAAACTCAAACATAAATAATCTGGTAACTAACAAAAGCACTTAATAATGTATGCACTTGACAGTAAAAATGCAACTTTTCCTTTGAAAATTCCCCATAATATTTGACAAACTACAAAGAGACCATTTTATGGAAGAGCAACTTTCTTGGCACTGGAAGTAATATAAGTCTTCTGAAGAATAATAGAGTACAGCTAGCAAGAGCCATAAAAATCCTGAAACCCTTTGACCTAGTAAAACCACTCTTGGGTGCTTTCTCTAAGGAAATAATTACACTGAAGCAAAAACCTATTAGTATAAAAACGTTGGCCAAGCTTGATAGCTCACGCCTGGCCCGTGAATCACAAGGTCAAGAGATGTAGACCATCCTGGCCAACATGGTGAAACTCCATCTCTACTAAAAATACAAAAATTAGCTAGTCGTGATGGCGTGCGCCTGCAGTCCCAGCTACTCGGGAGGCTGAGGCAGAAGAATCACTTGAACCTGGGAGGTGGAAACTGCACTGAGCCAAGATCATGCCACTGCACTCCAGCCTGGGATCAGAGCGAGATTGAATCTCCAAAAAAAAAAAAAAAAAAAAGTTCACTGCACCACTATCTATAATAACGAAAAAGTGTAAACCCAAATCACAATAATAGAATGGTCAGGTAAAAACCCTAAATTTTTTTTTTTAATACTGGCCAGGCAAAGTGGCTCATGCTTATAATCCCAGCACTTTGGAAGGCCCAGGCAGGTGGATCACCTGAGGTCTGGAGTTCAACACTAGCCTGGCCAACATGGTGAAACTGTCTCTACTAAAAATACAAAAATTAGCTAGGCGTGGTGGCACATTCCTGTAGTCCCAGCTACTCAGGAGGCTGAGGGGGAGAATCCCTTGAACCCCGGAGGCAGAGGTTGTAATGAGCTGAGATCGTCGTACCACCGCACTCCAGACTGGGAAACAGAGCGAGACTCTGGCTCAAAAAAAAAAAAAAAAAAATGTATAACATAACGTTCAGGGAAAAAGGCTAACTACAAAATAACATACATACTACTACTACTACATAAAAATGAAAAGGTTGAAAAGCAAAAGTAAGAATTAGACTGACGGTCGGGTGCAGTGGCTCACACCTGTAATCCAGGCACTTTGGGAGGCTCAGGCTGGGGGACCACTTGAGGTCTGGCCAGCCTGGCTAACATGGTGAAACCCCGTCTCTACTAAAAATACAAAAATTAGCCAGGGGTTGGAGACTAGTCAGGCCAACATGGCAAAACCCCATCCTCAGTAAAAATACAAAAAAATTGGCTGGGTGTGGTGGCAGGCACCTGTAATCCCAGCTACTCGGGAGGCTGAGTATCCCTTGAACTCAGGAGGCGGAGACTGCAGTGAGCTGAGCTCAGGCCACTGCACTTCAGCCTGGGTGACAGAGTGAGACTCCATCTCAAAAAAAAAAGAATTAGATCCAAGTAAAAATATATTCTAATATTGTGATTGCACTGTCTTCCCCAAAACAGCCACCTTCAAAAATGTGTATGACAATTAAAGACAGAATAAATCCCTTCTGAAAGTCATGAAAAGCTATTCACATACACACACATACAAAAAAAAAGTCAAATTATAAAATGTTTCTTAAAACAGATGTATTTCCAGACTTTCAAGAATATTTTGCTATCTCAAAACGTGTCAAACCCAATACTACATTTTCTTATTTCACCCTTGCTCTCAGAAACTTATTTTCATTGCTGATACACAAAAACCAAAGTGAGGCGATTCCAGAAGTTGAAACTTATTTACAAGGAATGCAGTAAAGTGACTCAAAATTCAAAGTAATTCTGCAAGTACATTAACAATCTGCACAAGAATAAAATTTCACATTATACAAATCCAACACAGTAAATAAAATTTCACCTATTCATCAAAAAGAATAAGGGCTACCATTTAGGTCTTGAATAAAAGAATGTAAAGCAAGGAAAAATCTAAATGAATCTTTTTTTTTTTTTTTTTTTTTTTTTAATGAGACGGAGTTTCGCTCTTGTTACCCAGGCTGGAGTGCAATGGCGCGATCTCGGCTCACCGCAACCTCCGCCTCCTGGGTTCAGGCAATTCTCCTGCCTCAGCCTCCTGAGTAGCTGGGATTACAGGCACACGCCACCATGCCCAGCTAATTTTTTGTATTTTTGGTAGAGACGGGGTTTCACCATGTTGACCAGGATGGTCTCGATCTCTTGACCTCGTGATCCACCCGCCTCGGCCTCCCAAAGTGCTGGGATTACATAAATTAATCTTAAATTCTCGTAAAGCCTCAAGGAACAAAAAAAGACCTTGTGGAACTAAAACATTCCAAATATCTCTGATCACTCAAACTATTCTGAAGCAAATTCTGCTATAATCTAATTTTTAAGCCTAAGAGTCAATGCAGCGCCGGGCGCGGTGGCTCAAGCCTATAATCCCAGCACTTTGGAAGGCCAAGGTGGGTGGATCACGAGGTCAAGAGATCGAGACCATCCTGGTCAACATGGTGAAACCCCGTCTCTACCAAAAATACAAAAAATTAGCTGGGCATGGTGGCGCGTGCCTGTAAACCCAGCTACTCAGGAGGCTGAGGCAGGAGAATTGCCTGAGCCCAGGAGGCGGAGGTTGCGGTGAGCCGAGATCACGCCATTGCACTCCAGCCTGGGTAACAAGAGCGAAACTCCGTCTCAACAACAACAAAAAAATCAATGCAACTTAAAATCCTTAAGTTTTAATTTGTATGTATTTGAACAAGTTGAAAATATCTGCCAAATCTCCTCCTAATACCTAAGAAAGTGAAAACAGAATGCATGATTTTCTATAAAAATTCCAGTTAAAATTTTTTCATTCTTCACTAGATGCCAACAAAAAAGGGAAACTGAAGTTACTCTATGAGGGAAAATGATCACTTCACCTGAACTGGTTTGGCTAACTAACTAGTGGCTGGGATGCTTCAGACTCGGGTAAGCGGTGTGTGTGTGTGTGGCATGTAAAGTCAAATAACAGATCGACCGACTACTTCAGCCCCTGGCCCCATTGAAGGCAAGAGAATTCCTAAAAAACCAGCTGATTCCTCTTGATGGGGAACTTCTGCTATAAATAAAAATTATTTAGAAATGGATTGGTGAAAATGTGTTTTCAAAAAGAAAACTCAGGTGCCTGAAAAATCCTCTTATCCCAAGATGTCTAAGGAGGACGCCGGTCACTGGCCCTGCCAAGCCGGCGGCCTAGGCCTAAGGGAGGCAAAGTAGTGCCTGCAACACGGATGGACTTGGGGCACAGGGGAAATGGACTTGCGTGCCCTTGGTAAGCTCTGGCGGCACTCCCGAAGTTAAGGACACCGGCCACAATGGAATGGAGTCTATTGACATTTGCTTCTCCGTTTGAACACTAAGCATTTTCTTAGTTCGTGAAATACGAACTGACAATCACCACCGCCCCCCCCCCCAACCCTCAACAGGCCCTCCTGCACGAACACACCCTCCGGAGTCAAACCCAGTTAGCCGGAACAACACTGATCCCTCGCCCCGTCCCTATCACAACCCCAGCTTAGGTGGGAAAAAAAGACACTAGTAAACATTTCTGCCTTCAGAAACCCCACCACGTCCCCCGCTGCAATCTCTCTCCTAGCATTTCCGAAATTGGGGCGGAGATTGGGGAAAGTGCGCAGGGTGCCCGCTCCCTGCCACCAGCACCGCCGCCCCGGATCTCCCGGGTCCAGCTTGGGTCCGGCCCTCGCCCACCACTGTTCACAGGCGCCTTCTCCACCGCGGCCTCGGAACAGCAATGCGGATCGGCCGCCACCCGCGCGCCGGAGAGGCCAGGCGGGGGAAGAGAGGAGGCCGGGCACTCCCCACCCCTTCCCTTCCCCAGGAAGGGGAAGGCGCAACGCTGCGGGAGGCTGCAAGGAGCCCCAAGATTCCACCGGAGTTCGGGAGCCCACCCGCAGCCTCGGAATCAAACGGGGAGGGGTGCGGGGGCCAAGGCCCACCTGTCTCCACCCCGTCTTCCGATCTTTCCCAGGACTGGGAGGGGGCGGGGAGAGGAGCCCCGACAGACCCTGATGATTCCGGAGGAGCCCAGTGCCTCCCCCTTTAACGGGCACGGGGGACGCGGCCCTAACTTCTCCCTTTCTGAAGTGTCCCCCACGGTGGGGGACATGTTCCGGAATACGACACTTAAGCCTCCAGACCCCTCCAACGCTCACACCTAAACTGGGAGTGGGACGCTGCCCAAGCATACCCCTGCTGCGGGCGGAGGGGGCGTGCAGAAAGGGGAGCCAGGGGTGACCACAGTCGCGACCCGAGAACTCCTCCCAACACGCGTGGGGAGGGGAGGCCGCTCGCTCCCTCCATCTTGACCGCTGGGGGAGGGGGCGGGGATGCTGCGGGAGGCTGGACAGGCCTGACAATCCCAAAAGACCCCCGCGGCGCCCCCCCCCGCCGAGCCTCGGGACTCGGGCCCGGGCGAGTTCCCCACACGCCGCCAGCCCCCAGCCCACCTCGGGCAGCCCTGTCGGTCATGGGGCGGAGACCGCAGCGCGAGCCGCGGGGGAAGGGACGCCGGGCCCAGAGCGGAGGGGGCTGGGGTGCCGACACCCACCTGCCCAGGCCGGGCCTCCCGCTGCCGGCGGTCGCCGCGGCCGCCGAGGAAGAGGGAGCTGTGGCCGAGGACGAGGAGACAGAGGACGAGGACGGCGAAGGCGCGACGGCGGGCGACGCGAGAAGGCCGCTGCCGCCGGGCTTGCGGACATTGGCGGCCGCAGGCGGCTGCGGCTGTGGCTGCTGCTGCTGCTGCTGCTGTGGCTGCTGCTGTGGCTGCTGCTGCTGGGGTTTCAACGACATGGTGAGGGGCCCATACACCGGCTCGCACGCCGGGCGGGGACAGCCGGGAGCCGGGCGCGCCGAGGAGTCGCCGGAGCGCGGCGGGGACGCGAGAGCGCCGAGCGAGGAGGCGCGGGTTGGCGCGGCCGAGGGGGCGCCCGGGCTGACGAGGGGGAAAAGGAGGACGAAGAAGGGGCGGGGAGGCCCGCCGAGACCGAGGAACCGCCGGAAGCCGGACCGGGATGCGCCGCCGCCGTTGCCGTTGCTACCAAAACAGTCTGAGGCGGAGGGAGGCGAGCGCTGCTGGGAGGGAGGGGGGCCAGGGCCGGGCGGGGGAGGGGCGGCGGAAGGATACGGGCCCGGTACGGCGCCGCCGCCGCCCCGCCCGCTTCGCCGTGCCGGTCGCGGGAGCGAGCGCCGCCCCGGCCACCTAGCTGCGGCGAAGCGGCGAGGCTCGGTGGCCGCCGCGGGACTCTGAGGAGCTGCGGCTGCTGAGCGCATCGGAGACAGCGTGCGCCGAGTCGCCGGGTGGGCACGGAGGTGCGGGATTGGGACTCTTTACCGGAAGTCGGAGGAGTCGGGCGGAAGCAGATCGTGAGGCGGCCACGGGACCGGGAGGGACACGTGAAGAGCGGGCGCACCGCTGGGCCGTGTTCTCGGGGGTCGGGTGAGGGCTAGGCAGCAGGCCTGCCCGGATCCGCCCTCTCGAGGCGGGTCTGCCCTTCGGGGAGGGCGTGTCGGTCTTAGCCTCTGGGGCCTGCCTGGTGTGGAGAACGGCAGGGAAGCATTTCTTCCCTCACTGTATTCCTTCAATGTCCTCACACTCCTGCAGGGACCTCGTTTGCCCCCACCTGATGCAACCCAGAAAATGGACTCTGAGTTCCTTGGGTCGGAGAATGTGTGTTGCTACGTGTAAAGCGCCTACAACCCTGCCAGACTCAGGGGACACAGCATCCCGCCGTTTTCCTGCCGTCCCCGGCCGGGCACACACTAGGCTCTCCAGTGCCTCTGGGCACCTCCCGGGCAGGCCGCGCTGCCCTGCCCTGGTGAGGCTGGAGTGGAGAAACTCTCCGGGGCCACCCACATCTGGGAACCTTTTCCCCACTTTTTCCACCCCCGCCACGAAAAGTCTTCTAGGTATCCGACCTTCATTTGAACCTACATTCCCTCATTTGAACTTCTTTTTCCTCATTCACGAGATTCTAAAGGAAATATACGGGACTGAGACTGGTAGAGCTAAGGATAAGCAGACCTCACAAGAACGTGCGAACTTTAGACCTTGCACCCTTTAAAAGTTTTAATTTAACTTGGCAAGCCAGCACTGTAGACCCTTTTTAAAATGTGTTGCAAGTAAACTGGAAGCAAGTAAACAACTTTTTTTATTATCTTGAGCAGTGAATCTAGTGTTTTTTCGTGAAATGACTTCAGGAAATAATAGAGAAAAAAACACCAAAATTCCCCTTCAATGTCTTAGAATTGTCTAGATAAAGACCTAGAAAAACATGGAGAATGATTAAACCAGCAGTTTTCAGTAGCCCAAATGAAATTAAACTCCTAGATAGTCCAGGCAAAAATGATCATTGTATTCTGCCAATGTAGGAAATCAGTTTTATTTCCCACCTAAAGAGAGATTGTTGCAAAACCCTTTAAAAATTAACCCAGCCTGGCCAACATGGTGAAAACCCATCTCTACTAAAAATACAAAAATTAGCCGGGGGTAGCGGGTGCCTGTAATCCCAGCTACTTCGGAGGCTGAAGCAGGAGAATCGCTTGAACCCGGGAGGTGGAGATTACAGTGAGATTGTGCCACTGCATTCCAGCCTGGGCGATAGAGCGAGACTCCGTCTCAAAAAAATAAATAAATAAAAATTGACCTAAGGAAATTGGTACTAAAAAACCAGTTGAGGAAACAAACAAACAAACAAACAAAAAATAGAAGAGCCTCTATTTTTTTCTCTCTATGGATTTGTCTCTTCTGGATTTTTCATATAAGTAGAATCTTACAGCATGCAGCCTTTTGTGTCTGCGTTCTTTCATTTGTCATGTTTTTGAGGTTTTTCTAAGGTTGTGGCATGTAGCAGTATTTCATTCCTTATTATTTCTACATCATATTCCACGTATGGACATACCATATTTTGTGTCTACTTGCCAGTAGGTGGATGTTTAGATTGCATCAACTTTTTGACTATTATGAAAATGCTTCTGGGGCTGAGATTGGTGGCTCCTTTCTATAATCCCAACACTTTGGGAGACAGAGGTTGGAGGATCACTTGAGTGTCCAGGAGTTTGAAACCACCCTGGGCAACATAGAGTAACCCTATCTCTATGAAGAAAAACTTTCTTTTTTTTTTTTTTTTTTTTTGAGACGGAGTTTCGCTCTTGTTACCCAGGCTGGAGTGCAATGGCGCGGTCTCGGCTCACTACAACCTCCGCTTCCTGGGTTCAGGCAATTCTCCTGCCTCAGCCTCCTGAGTAGCTGGGATTACAGGCATGTGCCACCATGCCCAGCTAAGAAGAAAAACTTTCAAAATAAAAAATTAGGCCAGGCGAGGTGGCTCATGCCTGTAATCCCAGCACTCTGGGAGGCCGAGATGGGTGGGGGTCATGAGGTCAGGAGATTGAGACCCTCCGGCCGACATGGTGAAACCCCATCTCTACTAAAAATACAAAAATTACCTGGGTGTGGTGGCAGATGCCTGTTAACCCCAGCTACTCAGGAGGTTGAGGCAGGAGAATTGCTTGAACCTGGGAAGTGGAGGTTGCAGTGAGCCAAGATCGCACCACTGCACTCCAGCCTGGGGAACGAGAGAGAGATTTCATCTCAAAAAAAAAAAAAAAAAAAAAAAGTGTTGTATCAGGCAGCCTCTATGGCAGCCTGGAATGATTCTTGCCTCCTGGTGTTCAGACACTGTGAAATCCTCTCCACTTGAATTTTAAAACAAAAAAAAAATTTTTTTTTTTTTTTGAGACAAGATTTTACTCTGCCACCCAGGCTGGAGTGCAGTGCCATAATCTGGCTCACTGCAGCCTCCACCTCCCACGCAGGCCCAAGCAATCCTCCCACCTCAGCCTTCAGAGTAGCTGGGACTTTAGGCATGCACCACCACACCCAGCTAATTTTTGTTAAATTTGGGGGAATTTATTGGTTTGTTTGTTTTTAGGCAAAGTCTTGCTCTGTTGCCCAGGCTGGAGTACAATGGCGAGATCTCAGTTCATTGTAACCTCTGCCTCCTGAGTTCGAGCAATCCTCCCCACTCAGCCTACCGTGTAGCTGGGATTATAGGCATTCACCGTCATGTCCCCTTAATTTTTGTATTTTTAGTAGAGATGACGTTTTGTCATGTTGGCCAGAACTCCTTGCCTCAAGTGATTTGCCCACCAGCCTCCCGAAGTGCTGAGTTTACAGGTGTGAGCCCCCACACCACCCAACCAATAAGTGAACTTTTTTTTTTTTTTTTTTTTTGAGATGGAGTTTCGCTCTTGTTACCCAGGCTGGAATGCAATGGCGTGATCTCGGCTCACCGCAACCTCCGCCTCCTGGGTTCAGGCAATTCTCCTGCCTCAGCCTCCTGAGTAGCTGGGATTACAGGCACGCGCCACCACGCCCAGCTAATTTTTTGTATTTTTAGTAGAGACGGGGTTTCACCAGGTTGACCAGGATGGTCTCGATCTCTTGACTTCATGATCCACCTGCCTCGGCCTCCCAAAGTGCTGGGATTACAGGCTTGAGCCACCGCGCCTGGCCATAAGTGATCATTTTGAATGTTCTCTCTTCCCCCAAATGATTTTCAGACACTCCTTTAAAGAAAAGCAACAAGTGTCTTTGGAGATTTGTCTGCAAAGGCAATGAAAAGTACTCTACTGAAAGAGTTCTGATATTGAGAAGCGTTGCTAAAATTTAAACTTCAAAAATAGCTATGGTCATTTCAGCTGCTATTTCAGAAATGAAAAAATAGTTCAAGTGAGAAAGCCAGACCTTCAGACTTGGGAATCTAGTCCCGTAGATTCCATACTTGCTTTTTGATTTTCATTGACCCTTCAAAAGCCACAAGGCCCTTTTTTTAGCCTGTTAATAATTTTCTTTTCTTTTTTTTCTTTTCTTTTTGTGACAGAATCTTGCTCTGTCACCCAGGCTGGAGTGGCACAGTGGCACGATCTCAGCTCACTGCAACCTCCGCCTCCTGGGTTCAAGTGATTCTCCTGCCTCAGCCTCCCAAGTAGCTGGGACTACAGGCCCCCACCACCATGCCTGGCCAATTTTTTTATTTTTAATAGAGACGGGATTTCACCATGTTGGCCAGGCTGGTGTCGAATTCCTGACCTCAGGTGATCCGCCTGCCTCAGCCTCCCAAAGTGCTGGGATTATAGGTATGAGCCACCACACCCAGCTTAGCCTGTTAGTTTTCATCACTTCAGTGATTAATCAAGTCTCAGGATTTGGGGATGACAAACAGAGCCATGTGAAGCAGAACTATGAAGAGTGATTTGCTCGCACTCACTACAGAAGCACACGTCACGTGATCTAATATTCCTGGCAATTCACTTTTCTGCAATCATGCCTTTTCATTTCTCTTCACTTGATCCTGCTTAATGTATGATGATATATTATTCACTCAATACTCTTGATTTCACTTCAAAAGCATGAAAATTAATTCAAATCAAAACTAACTTACATCCCCCCAAATCTATCCTCTTCACGTTTTTGTATAGACCAATCCTCATTTAAAGAAAGAAAGAAAAAAAAAAAGAGCAGATGTAATTTCAAAAATAGGACCATGGTTAATTAAACCAATGTTTTTTTTCTAACCATAGTTACTCAGAATTCGTAGAGGCTCATCTATTTGTAGACACTCCAGGAATCCCAAAAGACTAAATGCAATAATAAACTTTTTTTTTTTTTTAAAAAAGGAAAAGTGTGGGGGGCAGAGATGTAAAAAAATAATAATAATAAGTAAATAAAATAATATTTATTCAGCACTGCATGGGAACAGTAAAAAATAAAATAATTTAAAAAGTTTTTAAAAAAGGAAAAGTGTCTGGGGGTGGGGGCTTCCAGGAAGGCATTATTTATATACCTTGTTTGCAAAGTAACAACTGTCCATCCAATAGCTTTGAAGAACCTGGGGGTGGGGGGTAAAAAATAGTGGAGAACACGACATTATTTAAAGAGCTTTTAAGTGAGCCATTTCCTTCAAACAAGCACACTCCTGGTTGTTAATTTGCTCATTTTGTTTTACCTTGTGGGATAGAATAATGATGCAGTGACATTATTCACAAGGCAAAAGCTGGTTGCCAGCTGAAATAGACACAGAAGAAAGAATTCTTTATTTTTCATTGGAAATGCTTGGGTTCTGCAGAGCCAGAAATTTAAAGAAACTCAGCCTTTTGTTTTTCCTCCTCCTCCCTTTTTTGTTTTTATTCACCGTCGTTTTGTGGGTTAGTTTTGTGGGCAGCCTGTTGTTTCAGGGCCACAGATTTATGAAAAGCTGAAGATCTGAAGTATGCATGATTTGGAGAATGCAGGAAGGGATTTAAAATGGATGTGTGCAGACCAGTGACAGCTGAACTGGCCATTAGCATGGGCTCTTGTTAGTTTGCTACAGGATACAGTGAGTCCTACAATGGAACCCCAGAGGGGTCAG